TTTTTTTTTTTACTTTTACTTTTTTTTAAAGGTCAGTATAACAAATAAAACACTCAGTGTATCAAAAAATCTTATCCTTTTATTCACTACCGAAACAACAAAGACAAAATTCACCGTGCACTGCAACTTCTGCAACGTCAGAAATCCCAGGCAGCCTATTGGTCGTCCTCCAAAGCCTTTGAACTGCAATCAGTATCGTCTAACTTGATGTAAACGACAATTTCTCTTTGTTCAAGTTATCTCCTACTCAGGTGATCATATCAAAGCGTCTTTTGCAGGTTGGATAATCAATAATAGTTCATGATAATTAATGACGTGATAATTAATAAGAATGGTAATGATGGTGATGATGATTAATGATAATAATAATGATAATAAAGATAATAATAATAATAATAAAGATGATGATGGTAATAATAATAATAACAATAATAATAATAATAATAATAATAATAATAATAATAATAATAATAATAACAAGAGCAATAATGGATTCCTGGCTTGGAGTTCCCAAAGGACACTGGACACTATCAAGGGTTGTGAGAACAAAAACTGCCATTCCAGCCAAAAGTATTCGTGAAGCATAAATAATCAGACAGACAACTGAATAAATAAACATAAATAAGTACCAGCTTCCCCAGCCAGTGAACACAACGCGAGACAAACAGCGCAAAGGTCATAAGCTTAACTAAAAATCAACGAGCAGCCGCTTCAGCAACTACGCCCTGGCCCCCAGGAGGCGGCGCGGGCGGGCGGGCGGGCGCGAGGGCGGGCCTAGGGCGGCGCGCTCTGGAGGAAGTCCCTCTCGTGGCGGCTCCGGACGTGCGCCTTGAGGTTCCACTTGAAGGTGGCGCGGTAGGGGCAGTGCGGGCAGTGGAAGGGCCGCTCCCCCGTGTGCGTCCGCAGGTGGCTCTCCAGCTTGGACCGCTTGGCCTGGTTCTTGCCCTCGAACCGCCGCCCGCACACGGGGCACACCAGCACCCGCAGCGCCTGCAACGAGACACACACCTCACTGCTACGCCGCTCTTGGCCTCCTCCACCTCCTCACTCCTCTGCGCCGCCCGTCCGCCCTCGCCTGTCTCCTCCTGCGGCCTCGGCAGGTCAGCCCCTCCGCCTCTATTCCTTCCTTACGATCCCTGCTTCCAGGGGGCGGCCCTCCTTCCTCACCCCTTCCTCCCTGACCTTCTGTTCCTCCCTTTCTCTCTCCCTCCCTCCCTTCCCTCCTTTCTATCCTTCCTTCAATCCCTCCCTGCATCCTTCGCCTCCTCGCCCTGTAGCAGTCACCTTAATCCTAACCCCCCCCCCCCGCCAACCGTGCGCCAGGCCTACTCAACCGACTGGCAAGACATGCAAAGTATTTACACACGGAACTATAACTAAAATGTAATCTTAGCCTCATCGTTTTGTTTTTAGCCTCACTGATTTAATGTCAAAATAAGCGACTTATACAATAAAGAGAAACGACTATTTCAAAAAAAAGTGAAAAAGAAAGTAAGAAAGGAAAAAAAACATAAATAATGTAATAAAAGAGGCGGTATTGTTGCATGTGTAGTGCCAGGTGTTACTACACAGCGTGTTATGAAATGCATTTTGCTTCACGCCTCATCGATTCAAGAAACTTACTTCCACTCCTTTGATACTAAATCATTTTCATACATCTGGACTTTAAAGGAAATCAATATTTATTTGTTTTTTTATATATATAAATATGTACAACAACCATTTTTGTGTCTCATGGAATGATGATCTGAGCATTATTCTTAGGCCTTTCCTAGATTTAAAAAAAGTTGTATAAATGCAAAAGCGAAAGATCAGTTTCCCTTTGACGGTCATTTTGTATCGCTGTATCATCAAGGTCATTTAAGGTGGCCTCAGCACCAGTGTTCTTTTTTAACGCATGATCACGTTTGAATCCCCCGCCGGGCCCTCTAAGAGTAATATCACCATCAGAATGAACTTTACAAACTGAGCGGGATGTTGTACTGAAATGTGGAGTCGAGGCCCGTAGAGATGGGCCAGGATTGCGCCAGGGCCCCTTCCACAGGCAAGGGTGGTGGCGGGGCCCCTGGCATAGGCTAGGGTGGCGCAGGGGCCCTTGATATAGCCTAGGGTGGCGCCATGGGCCCTAGCCCTAGGCCGGAATGGCGCCGGGGCCCGTGAGATGCGCCAGGACCCCAAGAGCCAGGCCGAGGCGGCGCCGGGGCCCCTAGAGGTAGGCCGGGATGGCGTCGGCGCCGTGGCGGGCCTCAATGTGCGTCTTGAGGTTGGCCTTCCGGTTGGCCCGATGCGAGCAGAGCGGGCACTGGAACGGCTTGACCCCCGTGTGGATCTGCAGGTGCCGCTCCAGGTTCGACTTGCTATTCCGGCCGTGAAACCTCTTGCCGCAGGTGCCGCACGCGAGCTCCCTCCAGGACTGGCCGCCGTCGCTATCCGCGCCCCCGCCCTCGGCCGGCGGCGGCGGGTGGTGGGGCGGCGCGTGCGAGCGCTGCGCCAAGAGGCCTGCGCGCGTGGGCGGAGGAGCGGTCTCTCTCTGAAACACAAGAGCAAAGCCTTCGTTTAGGCCTTCGTCCTCTCCTGCCGGGACTCCTCTACAAGCCCTCCTACGCGGGGGTACCCCAGCACCCGGACCCCCCCCCCCACCAGCCATGCCCAACACTAGGCCCAAATAACCCGGGCACTCTGGCCCCTCTTGGTGAACAAACGTTCACAAAGCCTTCCAAGCGGGAGACCAACATTTGCAGTTTCTGTTAAACCTTCACCACTCGCCTTGCACTTTTCTCTCAAGGAACCAGATTCTCTGTCGTCATTTTTATACGACTATGACAAAAAAAATACTTACAAGCCTGCGTGTGAGTGAGTGAGTGAGTGAGTGTGTGTATCGAATATGCCAATAACATACAGATATGGGAAAAATTAAGACACCTTTAGATACCGAACTTTATTGCAAGTAATCTATTACCATTAATTTTCTCAAGTTGATTTTTGCATTAACGTCTTTGACGAAATCACGCTTATACGGATTTATGCAAGCGTACACAAAAACACACACTCTCACTCAGACTTACATACTCACTCACCAACACATACAGACACACACAGACACACACATTACTCACTCACATACACTCATCACTTACTCACTCAATCAACATCCGTATATAAATCTGATAAGCATGTGCCAAACGTGAACGGAACAAATCTGTGAAAGTAAGTCACTGGAGAAAATACAGGTCTACAGCTGCGTCGGTGAAATATTTCTTGTTCGGAATAACAGAGCCAAGAAAGGAAAAGATGGAAGAGGGGAAGGGAGAGAGGGGGAGGGAGAGAGGGAGAGAGGGAGGGAGGGAGAGAGGGGAGGAAGGGAGAGAGGGAGGGAGAGAGGGGGAGGAACGGAGAGAGGGAGGGGGAGAGGGGGATGGAGGGAGCGACGGAGAAATCAGGAGGGAAGAGGAGAAAGCAAGAGGGGAGAGGGAGAGGTGGTGAGGGGGAAAGGGGGGAAAGGGGGGCAGGAAGTGAGGGAGATGGGGGGATGAGGCCGAGGGGAAAGGGAGATGAAGGGAGATGGAGAAGGAAGGAGAGGGAGGTGAGGGGAAGGAGAGGGAGGGGAGGGGAAGGAGAGGAGAGGGAGAGGGAGAGAGGGAGGGAGGGAGGAGAGAGAGAGAGAGAGAGAGAGAGAGAGAGAGAGAGAGAGAGAGAGAGAGAGAGAGAGAGAGAGAGAGAGAGAGAGAGAGAGGGGGGGGGGAGAGGAGAGGGGAAGGAGATGGAGGGGAGGGGAAGGAGACGAGAGGGAGAGGGAGAGGGAGAGGGAGAGAGGGAGAGAGGGAGGGAGAGAGGGAGGGAGAGAGAGAGAGAGAGAGAGAGAGAGAGAGAGAGAGAGAGAGAGAGAGAGAGAGAGAGAGAGAGAGAGAGAGAGAGAGAGAGAGAGAGAGAGAGTATAATGTGTATTAAGCACGTATAGGCCACGAGGTGGTTTGTCGCCCCACGCCACGCTGCCCAGCATGGCGTGCCCCAAGCAGATGGGCGGTCCCTCGCCCCCACGCGCAGATCGGATATTTAAGGACCCGGTTTGACCCAGTCAATAGAGTTAGTCGCCAGCCAAGGTCGGTCGCCTGGCCTACGGCCTGATGGGCGGGTAGGGTTCAGGTTACTTAAGCCCCCCTTCGCCAGGCTGACCGCGCTTATCCCACCGCTGCCACCAGTATGTAAAGGGTATTGATTGATGCCTTATACATTGGAGAACAGGAGTAGTAATAGCTTGATAGCTTGAGACTCTTTATTGACTAAGAGTACAGCACACACAGATATGTATACACAGAATGTATAAGGCGTCAATATATACCCTTTACAGAGAGAGTGGGGGGGGAAGACAGAGAGAGGGGGGAAGAGAGAGAGAGGGGGGGAAGAGAGAGAGAGAGAGAGGGGGGGGAAAGAGAGAGAGAGAGAGAGGGGGGGGGAAGAGAGAGAGAGGGGGGGAAGAGAGAGGGAAAGGGGCTGAAGAGAGAGAAAGGGTGGGGGAAAGAGATCGAGAAAGGGAATGGAGATCGAGAGATCGAGAGAGGGAGGGTGGGGAGAAGGGGGAAGAGAGAGAAAGGGGGAGAAGAGAGAGAGGGGGGGAAGAGTGAGAGGGAGAGAGAGAGAGAGAGAGAGAGAGAGAGAGAGAGAGAGAGAGAGAGAGAGAGAGAGAGAGAGAGAGAGAGAGAGAGAGAGAGAGAACTGCTACAGAGAAAGGGAGGAGAAGGAAGAAAAAGTATGACTGCAGTTGAATATCCTCGCAGCACAAGAGACATATTCGATGATGCCTTCGTCAGAAATACATGATGATATATATCGAAACCGGCCAAACACACCTCTAGCACTGCAGAAATATTCACAGTCATGCAAGCCTTTTTTCTCTACATTTGTTGCAATGAACACTGGCGAGGAGTAAGAAACGGAGACGGAGGAGGGACGCGGCGCAGCGTAGACGATCAGCTCGGGACTGGACGTGGACACTCCAAATCGGATACAAAACACTAACTAGAGGGGCTTTGTCAATGCCGGAGGATGAAATGATATCAAGTGGCGTCGCAAATCTCGCTCGCATTTCTAGACTGGATACACTCGGACATCTGAATTTACATTTGGGGAGATGGAGAGGACACTTGGCAGCTCACAGGGATCACGCAGAGAAAATCTATTGCTGCTGATTATAATTCGCTTGGATGGCGCCCCGGTGCGGTCTTGCGCCGGCTGGATCCTGCCGGATGGTTCCGGTATCCTGGAAGGGTCCGAAGGACGCCCCCTGGCCCAGCTGCGCCTCCTGCGGACCGTAGGAGACCTTAAGGTGACTCTCGTTCGCGGCACCCGGATCGGCTAGGCCCTTGGCTCCCTTGTGTCCCGGGCCGAGCTCGCCCGCCCTGGCCGCCGGGCCGCCCTTCTGCGCGTCCTCGGGGCCGCCGGCACCCAGGGCGTCGGGAAGGAAGGGCGGCAGCGGCGCGTCGGGCGCGGCGCCGGGCTCTGGCGTGAGGGCGTGGGCGTAGTAGGCGGCCTGCGCGCCGTGGCGGGACTCAATGTGCATCTTAAGATTGCTCTTGCGGTTGGCGCGGTGCGAGCAGTGCGGGCACTGGTACGGCTTCTCCCCCGTGTGGATCTGAAAGTGCCGGTTCAGGAGGTAGTTCCGCTTGGTGCCCTGGAACTGCCGCCCGCACACCGGGCACTGCACGGAGGACCGCGCCGCCGCGCCTCCGCCGTCGCTGCCGCCCTCGGCGCCGACTCCCTGTGGCCCCTGTGGCCCCTGTGGGCGAGAACACACGCTACAGCCTCTCTCCGCACCTCAGTCTCCTCACTCCGCCCCCCGGCGAACCCCGTGCCCGCCCGCGCCCGCCCACGCCGCCCCAGCCACAGACACTGCTCAGCCCCTCTATCTGGCCCGCCGGCCATAGTGAAAACTATTCTTGCAACTCTTCTTGATTGGAATGGCCTCACTACAAACAAATAATAAGAGCAACAAACTATAAATATAAATAAAAAATGTAATACAACTTTACTCTTTACCCTTCATTATATTTCTCTAATACTGGTCTCTTTAAGCTATGTTCAATATCAAATTACATAAAAGTTCTTGTTATGAGGATGAACATGGTCGCTGCAAGGAAAAATACATGAGAGAGAGAAATGGGAGGAGGAAGAGGAGGAGGAGGAGGAGGAGGAGGAGGAGGAGGAGGAGGAGGAGGAGGAGGAGGAGGAGGAGGAGGAGGAGGAGGAGGAGGAGGAGGAGGAGGAGGAGGGGGGGGGAGAGGGAGAGGGAGAGGGAGAGGGAGAGGGAGAGGGAGAGGGAGAGAGGGAGAGGGAGAGGGAGAGGGAGAGGGAGAGGGAGAGGGAGAGGAGGAGGAGGAGGAGGAGGAAGAAGAGTAGGAGGAAGAGGAAGAGGAGAAGGAGGAGGAGGAGGAGGAGGAGGAGGTAGTGGTGGTGGTTACCAACGACAAAGAAGAAGAGGAGATAGAGAAATGGAAGAAGAGGAAACGCAAAAGAGAGGGGAGAAAGTAGACTAAGAAATAACAAAGCAATTGATAATATTTACACCCAATCAAATAAGAATTAGATTTTCCTTCACATTTTATTTTACCTTCCCCTTTTCCACTCTTTCACCTGATCACCCCCACCCCCCACACACACCCCTACTCAAAAGGCCCATCACAGTGACACTGATTAAACCCATTTTTCTTTGCTAAAGGTTATTATGCACATTCTTTTCTTTTTTTTAATTGTTATTAAACCTACCTTTTTCTATTTTTAAAAGGTTATTAAATCCATGTCTTTTTTTTTCTTTTAAGGTTATCATACCCATATTTTTCTTCCTTTTTTTTGAAGATGATTACAGCCATCTTTTTCTTCCATCTTTATCTCATCGAGGAAAGTAGGCATAAAGAGAGTCTGTGATGTAAACTGAGTCTTTTATTTTTATTATTAAATTCTCTAATATCCTAAAATCACAGCATACAATTCAGTATCAGCAGACTTTAAACGTGTCATGAAAAAAAAAATCATATTTTTTGCTCATTGATGTAAAGATGTGGAATACATTAATTGCTCCAAGACATTCCATCTTAAAGCATGGCAATATATATATATATACATATACACATTCATCTATATACATTACATACTATATACAGTATACATGTGAAGAGATCACAACGGTGGTGTTAGAACCGACTCTCCGCGAAAGAAAAATAAACTAATAATCGATTGGCCCGAAAAAAATACGCATTGACTCAACGCAGATACGAAAACACATCTTCAATCTCACAATCATAAAAAAAAAATCTTTATGCATTCCATTCGCTTTCTTATAAAACAAAACAAAAACAAAACAAAACAAGAAAAAAACATAACAGAGCAACGGTTTACGAAAAAACGGTACTACACGTTCGAAATGTTATACTTGCTTACAGGTATAATGGCTTCTTCCCTTCTTTCATGTGGATCTATGACAATACATTCTTCTTTGTTACATGTGGG